GTCACGTTGTATCCTTTTTTTTTAACATTACTGAATTTAATTTTTAATATTTTATTTAAGATTTGTTTCCAGGTATGGTCACTAGTGAGGATAGTCCATAAATCCCTTTCTTCTACTTTCCTCGAGGGGTTTGCTAGCACTGTTATGATCACATCATAATATTATTTGGGGGATGTTTTCTTTCTTTCTTGGGAATAGTTTGTCAGTTGTTCCTTAGCTCTGTGTATCGGGTTGTTAGTAAGTTGGATTTCGAGCCCATTTTCTGTGGGACTTTCCTTACAGGTAACCTGTGAAGCTTGGATCAGGGAAGTTTTTCTTTTTTTTTCTGCCATGAAAATCTCATATGTCATTGGCCTGGGATCCCCACCGCTTAATAGCAGTTTGAATTTGCTTCAGTTTCCTCTCCTATAAAGTGTAGAAAATAAAAATACCTACCTCATAAGGTTGTTGTGAGGATTAAAGTTATTTTTATAAGTGCCTAGAACAGTTGTCTAAAAAGAGAGCGTCCCCCACCCCAGGGATTGATATATTTAGGAATTATAATTTTATTGTGTTATTTGGGAATTTTTTCTAATTTCTTCTTCAGTGTAAAGAAAGTATATCTTCTTTAAACCAAACCATAGAGTTGAGCTTATGGATTTTTAAATTGGATAAGATAGGAATTCATTCACTGAAGAATGTTCTCGGCAAATTGAAAAACTGATCTGGCACCAAAATTTGTTTTTTTCCCTTTTGAACTAGAACCATCCTAAAAGTAGTACCTATACCGAACTCCTTTCCTACAGTCTTTATTCTTAACTACTTCCACTATTTCTATTGGAATTATTTGTATTTATTTCTTAAATTTGATGCCCCATGATAAAGAAGAGATTTTAGAGCATAGTGTGTAGTACCAGGCACTAGAAGGCTTTCAACAAATATTTGTCCTGTAAGTGAATTTCCGGTTCCCATTATACTTAGTGGTTAATTCTTTCATTAACTTGATTTTGATGTTCCTGTAAATATAAAAATTTTACGGTCATTAGTATGATTTAACTTGCTAACTTACTGTATAAACAACTTTTATGAATCTTATAAGTATGGTATAACCAAACCATTATATATCACAGATTTGAAAAGTATGTCATTTACATAATCATATTACATTTATGTAATTACAATGAATTTAGCATATGAAATTTTCTTTCTTACCTGTAACGGTTTCAGATTGGTTTAAAATATTAGTTTTTTTTTTTTTAATCTTAGTACATTTCAATATTTCAAATGTTGGAATTGTTACATTGCTGAGATCTTAGAAAAGGCATTTACCGAACTAGTTCCATAAATGAAAAAAAAAAACCTTATGCTGACATTTGAAGATTACTATAAACAGAAGAAATCAATATTATTGTCTTTCATAAGCCTCTGCTTTGCATTTTCACTAACTTTATGTCATTATATTTGTGGCAAACCTACAAGATTATTTCCCCAGTTTATAGGTAAGGAAACCAAAGCTTAGATAGAGTAAATGACTTGCTCAGAGTCATACAACTAGAAAGGATTTTGAACCCACGTCTTTGGACTCTAAGTCATTGTTCTTGAGGAGTCATCCAAGAAATGAAACTCTTTTGTAATGAGCCAAAGAGACAATATTCCATTTGGTTTTTGGAAATGATAAGTAAACTATGGAAAACTCTCTAGAGCTACGGAAATGTTTCTTAAACTAAGGCTTAAGGCTGAAAGTTCAAAGTGGATCCTTATCAAAGACTTATCCCTCATTATACCTCCCAGTTCCCCATTTAGACGCAAAACTTTCCAAAACAAATGTTTACTGTAATTCTTTGGAAAGACTGCATCCCAGCTGTGTTCTCATTGCACAATTACTTATTGTATGTCTATTTAATCCGAATTTCATTTCTCGGTGTTTCATCATTACTTTTTTAATGTCTACTATTATGGATTGTAATGTCTTTCGGTCTCCTGTTGTATTTATCTGTGATTGCTTTCTCCTACCTTTTCAGTACTTTATACAGTTCATAGAAGATGCTTAATAAATGCCGAGTAGTATTGAGTTACAGTATTTAAAGTTCTCTACAATGTGTCCTTCTTCACCTTTGTGATATTTTCTTCTATTACTCTGCTGTTGAGATAGCCAAGTGATTGTAGTGATTGTCTGTCTGTCCTCGTGCCCTTTTCTCCGTTCTGAATGCCCTTCTCTCCTGCTTCCCTACTATGGCCTTAATTCCAATCTCACCTCCTCCATGAGACCTCTACCATTCAAATCGTTAGAAGTCTTTGAATTTCATTCTGCTGTTATTGTCATTAGGGTATACCTGACGCTTAGCATATCTCATTCTCAGTTATCTTTTTGTTTATGCCCTGTCTCATCTGGATTGTGAATTTAAATCCATGTACCTCTCTAGATCTGAATAGTAGCTAACATGTTCAAGACTTTCTCAGTGAATGTCCTGATAAAGAAAAAGTCAGTTGTAGTCACCTAGAAGAGGCTTTATTTAAATCATTGCTGACTAGTTGCGGAGAAATTTTAGTGAACAAAAAATGAAGTGGTCAGCCAGCCAACATGTCTCAATTGACATTGGAATTAATGAAGAGAAAATAATCTCTCTAGTGTAAGCCAAGTGGCTCGTATTTGGTTGTAATTCTAGAAATAATATTACAGCATTCCTCCCGCCCCTTGCCCCTTTCCTGTCAGTCTCTTAATATATACACTTGCATTTGTTGACCACGGACCTCTTTGATCTTGTTTTTGACATTCACCGTTTTTGCTTTTTTGTCTCTGTGAAGTTAATAATGGAGCAATTTTCAATTTTTTTTCTTTTATTCAATCTGGATCACATTTCTTAGTTGTTTGGGATTGTAACTGAATCATTTGAATTACATGCTATTTGGTTCTGTGATGAGAGCTTGATTCTCTCAGCTGACTGTCAACTTACCATATGTTGCTGTAATTCTGGAAAGCAGTGGAAATTGTAGTGTTGAATCAAAAAGCTGTGTTGGACTGGTGTTTTAATAATTACTTACAGTTATTGTAGAATTCATTCATATACCTAGGCATTCTGTAAAATACTTTAAACTTTGGAAAATCTATAAATTAACTATTATTGACCCTATTTTACATATGAAGGAAATGAGTCTGAGAAAGATTAGGTAGCTTTCTTAAAGGTCAAATATTTCAGAAATAGTACTGCTAGAATATAAGCTTTTGTAAACCCACTTACCCCAGACTGGAAGTTAACTATGTGTTAAATGAATGCAATTCCTGTATCGCATTCTCTCTTGAACTCAGCTCCCGTTTATCACTCCCATCACGCCATCAAAGCTACACTTTTTGATGTTATTGATGATCTCCTTGTTATTAAATCTAAAAGTCCATTCTCTGTCTTCTCTGACTTGACCTATCAATGATATTTGACCCAGTTACTCCCCTTCCTTGAAGTGCGTTCTTTAGTTGTCTTCCAGAACAACACATTCTCCCTTCTGTATTTTATTCTGCCCTGACCCCTTCTCCCCTGGTCAGTCCTCAGTCTATTTCCTTCCCATCTTCCCAGCCTCTAAATGATGGAATATTCCCAAGGCTCAGTCTCCAGATGTTTTCTTCTTTCTATTTACTCTCACTTTCTGGGTGATATCACCTAGTGTCATATCCTTAAATACTATTTTTATCTCTATCTTCCCCTGAATGCCATGCTAATATGTTAACAGATTAATGAGTGTGAGTAGCTAAACATGTCTAAAACCAGACTCCTAATACTGTACTCTTCCACCCTTCCCAGTTGGAAGGTTATATATAACTTCATACAAACTTAACTCTTCCAGCTGCGTAGGCCAGAAGATGTTGGTTTTATCTTAGACATCCAGTCCATTAGCAAATTCCATTAGCTCCATCTTTGGATTGCCTTCTACATCTGATCACTTTTCATCTCCATTGCTATCACTTTGATCCAAGCCAGCATCCTTTTCTCTATTTTGTTGTAATAATTTATTAGCTGATTTCTCTGTCATTTTCCTTGACCCCTCTATAAACTGTTCTTAATATAATAGCCAAGGAGATCTTATTTTTTTTAAGGAGCATAATTTCTCTGTCCAGAATAGAAGCTTAAATCCTTAAAATCTCTTTTTTGACCTCATCTCCCTCATCTCCTACTATTCAGTCCAGCCCTGCTGTCTTCCTTGCTAACTCTTATGTATCAGACATGTCCCCACCCAACCAGCCCATCGAGATCTTTGCATTTATTTTTCTTTCCTTCTGCAGCGTTCTTCCCTCAGATGTCTCCATGCCTTAGGTGTTCTGGTCTTTACTAAGGTCTTCAAGCCTTCGCTCCTTAGGTCTTTACTAAGACATTCTCTTTTCTCTGAGGTCTCTATTGACTATCCTATTTTCATACCCTTCCCTCTCCACCCACCATCACTTCTTCTCTCCTTTCCTGCTTTATTTGCTTCCCATGGTATTTGTCATCCTTTGACATACTTCATATTTCACCTATTTATTTTGGTGTGTGTGTATGTTTAAATCTTTCATTCCTTATTAGAATATAAATTTTACTAGAATATGAGTAAAAAAGGCAGAAATTTATTAATTTGTCTGTCCCAATTTATTTGTCTGCCCCCAGAACAAATGAAGCAATGAATGAGTATTAGGATTAGAATTCTGTTCTGTTTGGCCTCATAGCTGAACTAGGCTATTATTACTTTATGAGTACTTGTTTTTTGTTTTATATATTCACCCCTATCTTTACCTCACCCTTACTCAAAAGCTCTTAGAATTGGTAGAGTTTTGTATATTTTAGACATGTGGAATGAACAATCCAGATAGCGTTTAATGTTTAATCTTACAATGATAATGATTGCTACATTCTGAAATTTACATTCAAATATAGCTGTGGTGTTATATATATATATATTTTTTACTTTTACAGAACGTGTGTGTGTGTGTGTGTGTGTGTGTGTGTGTGTGTGTGTGTGTAATGTTACTATGTGTATACATATATAATTTTTTAAAGCAGGTTACCAGGACACCTCATGGGAGAGACTTCGATGACTCCTTGGAAAGGTGTGATGAGTATTTGAGCTCAAGGTCATGTAGCAAGCCCCAGCATTCAGCGAGGACCTTACTAGTACATTCGGCACCCTCAACAGTACCAAAGCATTCTCCAAGCCCTGTGTTAAATCGAGCTTCTCTCAGGGAAAGGTAATGTTTAGTCTCTATTTCTGTACTACTTTTTTGAATAATCATAATTAGAAAAGAGAAGGCAGCAATTACATATGTGAAGTGATTATTTATAAAAGTATAATTTGATTTTAAGAGGCTTACTTAAATTATTTTTGTTTAGAACATATTGCATATTACTTAGTGTTAAATACTCTCCAGCCCAGTTCACTTAAAGCGAGTTCACTATTATTAATTAGAGTTACGTTAGCCCTAATTAAGTACTGTAGTGCATAAAAGTGAAAAATAGAGTATGTGATAGTTTGATTTTAGTAGATTCATAGGTATTTAATATTATAGGCATGGCTTATGTATAAAAATAGGATAGGTTATATTTTCCTTTTGGTGATAATGATGATACTATATATTGTTGGTATGTGGTACCTGTTTCCTCAAATAACCTCTTCCCAACTTCGTAAAAGAACCTGAATTATGTAAAAGATTCCAGATTCCAGCTCTCTCTCTAAAAATGCTCTTGCAACCAAAATTAGACACCAGTTATAATTTGAATGTGAAAAAGTAATTCCTCTTCATCCGTTTTTGTTGTTGCTGTTGTTGAATCCAAATTGGAAATTCCTTGCCTCTTTGCCTCTCTCACAAATAGTAAGAGAAAAAATAGTTGTCATAAATTAAAAAAAAAAAAGCACCGAACCCTGAGTATTTTAAAAATTGTATGGAAATTTGAAAACCTAACAGATATACCATCAACAACATGGAGGTAAAATCTATCTTTACAGTTGGTATCAAAAAGCTAAAGTAGCACACTAAATTTCTACAGCATATTAGGGACATCAGACATAATTGATGAAGTTTCAATCATAGAGTCTGTAGAGGGTCTGTCAAAAGTTCATCTTAAAACTGATGCTTTGAAATAGAGTGTGTCAGTTTGGAGGCTATACTGGAACATCCCTATTCTGAACAAATAGATTTGTATGTTTTCTCATTAGCCCTATAAGCATTCAAAATGGGTATATGGAGGTATGGTAGAGACCTAATCCTGAGATAGAGGGAATTATTACTAATGTTGCTTCTAGTCCATTAGAACCATGCCTTTTGGGGATCATCGAGTTCAGGTAGGTAGGTAGGTAGGTAGGTGATAGATAGATCTATCTCTCTCTATAGGCTTTCATTGTTCAAGAGGAAAAAAAGGTTCAAGAAGAACTCTTGAAGAATTTTTCTGATGAAGTCTGGTAACGTTAGTCTCAGTATTAGCTTTGATTTCCATGTCTGCTAAGATGTTCAGATATTTAGTTGGTGCTACTTTCTTTTAGCTACTTTTAGAATTAAACACTTGTGGTTTTCTTGATTAGGTTCTTTGTAGTATCCATAGGTTTTCGAGAATTTTTTTTTACCTATATTTCCTTAGATATGTTTTTATAAATATTGTTTTATTTTTCTACCTTTTCACATATTTTGCAGAGCTCTCCAATTGTTTACTACTATAATACAACGATTTTGGTCTAGTGTTATTTTATCCTTGCATATAATTTTGTCCCAGCTTTTGAATTCTTCTTTGAAGCTATATTCAAATTTTTTTCATTAAGGATAGCTGAAGTCAGTTGTCTTTTTTTCAAATTTCCATGCAGGGAATGGCTTAGATTAGATAGTAGCATTTACACACATTTATTTTGATGCTGGATATAGATGTGGATAAGCTCTGATAGAAGGAAACAAGTGATTCTAATATTAAACAGTGCGTGTTCTTCCTATGACTTGAGGAAGGTTGAGTTTCTTTTCATTTTGAATTTATCTAAATCAATAAAATTTTAGGGGTACTCTTTAGGGTAGATAAACTTTTTATTTTCACTGAGGTAAAACATCTCTACTCTGATTGTATTTTCAAAAAAGATCTAGAATTAGTCTATACAGGAAAATTTTATTTTTAATTATCTTTAAGATATATTACTAGAAATGAAAACTTTTTTTTTTTTTTTTTTTAGTACAATCGGCACCACTCTTTAAATATTCTCTGATCTGGCTTTCAGACATTCTCTGATCTGGCTTTTTAGGTCACAGAGCAATATACTTATATGGTGTTTAGAAAATCCATTGGAATAATAAGTGATTTAAACTGGTGTAAATGTAGATTATATGTCCCAGGCAAAATTGAGAGTATGACAGAACATAACATCTACAGGAATATATCTAGGTAAATATTCATTAAAATTAATTAAGTTTTTTTCTGAAATTACTGTAAAACACTGACTCCTTAACCATGTTCTTTGAATAAACAGACTTTTAAAAACTTTATCACTGACTTTAAGCAAATAAATTTTTTAATTTATAGTGAAGGTTCTTTTTGCTTTAAGCTCATTTTTAAAATAACTCCAGAGAGTTAGCACACCGTAAAATAGTTTCAATGTTGATAAGTGTTACATTTCAGAAGCAGTTTTCTCCTCAAAGTACAAATATTAATATTATGACATAATTTTTATTAGGCTGTAGAGTTGTTACTAAAATCAGACTAATACTAGCAAATCTAATTAAAAGAAGCTGGTATTCTTTTAAATCATGCTTAAGGTTTTAATTTTTGTAAATGGAGTTAGATTGTTAGGCAATCATGTCTTAGATTGTTAGGCAATCATTTCTTATACCACAGCACAGACTAGTGGATCTTATCATGGTATCATTGAAGAGCTCCTGTTGAAGCTACATATGGATATCAAGATATTCAAGATGTGTTACATATGTAGCAAATAACAAAGTCTGCCAATAGATTTGCAGAGATGCAGTAACATTTCCTTTTACAAATGAAGGAGATTAAAATTTAGATATAGTTGATCATTACTGGTTGCTTTCTTTAAAAAAGATTGCATAAATCATTTATCCCGCTTAATAGTCTACACTCCGTTTAAACATATAAAATTATAACTTTTTAAGAACAAACTAGGAGATAAAAAGGAGTTTCAAGCAACCTATTAACATTTTAGTACTCATTCCTTTATAAAGGTATTATCAGTAGCATTTTATATGCACTATAATCAGATCTAGAAATTTTTATTATTATATAAAACAAAGTAGCTTAATTATATTAAAACCAGTTTTGAGTTTGGAAAAGGCATAGAAAGAGAAATGATTGCTTTATTTCTTCTTTCACATCTGTAATTCTAACACTCAGACTCTAATAAAAGTCAAGTTTTTCTTTCCTATTTTTCAATGTTTACTTTTTAAAAATATACTTATGTAATAGAAGAGACTAGACCAGTGTTATAATCTGTACTGAGATGGGAACATTCAATTTTTATGTTCCCGTCTTCTTTATTTGATTGTTTATTGAGGCATAATTGACACATTATATTAGTTTCAGGTGTACGACACACCTGAAATGATTTAATATTTGTATTGTTCTGTATTCTGAAGAAATAAGAACATGATTGGATTATAAATATTTTCATCTATTATAAATATTTCATTTTATTTCACAAAATAAGCTTAATTTTTCTGTATGCAGAAAGGAATTTCTTCTACAAAGCTTAAGTATCATTAAATTACTGGAAAATAATAACGAATTTTAAAGGCATGCTACATGGAATTATTGTTCTAATATGAAAATCTATATCTTTATGTTGAGATAAAGCTCTAAAGAATTATGTATGGAAATTATTAAAATAATCAGATATATTGGTATGTTCTCCCAAGTGCATGTCAAACTTTATTATTAAGACTACTTATTGAACATATTTTGAGGACTTAATACTACAGGTGAGAATTAGTACCTGATTTTATATATGCCTCTCATCTTTGGTCAAAGGAAGAAAATATGTTATTCTAATCTTTATATATGATTACATAGGGATAAGAAAAATGACTTTCTGTATCTGGCATTTGGAAAGATTTTTTTTTTCTCCCTCTGGTTACAAGTCACCTTTGTTTTTTATGCCTACAGATTCCATTCTGATTGGTGTTCACCTTCAAACTGCGATGAGATCCATGACCGGGTAAAAAATGTCTTGAAATCACATCAGGCTCATCAAAGACATTTATATGTTAGTTTCTAAAATTTTCTCTTGAAGGCTTTTTATAACTGGGCATGAAAATGACCCAAGATGCTTAAAGCTTGCAATATTTAATCACTGGAAAGGAAAAAAGATACAATCTTCATATCTAACTTCCTGCTTGACCTGAGTCATTATGCAAAATGTTTGACACAGATCATCTGAACTATAAACAAAGTTAGTGATAATTAGCTCATAGAGTCAGTAAGTAATGACTTTATGATAATTTTTTCATAGCCTTCAAATGTGGGAACTCTTGTTTTATGGCCCATTACAAAGCAGTTCCATATCCTACAAATAGATTTGATTCTAAATGGTAGAATTGGGGAGAGGGTGATAAAATATGTATTCTGAAGAAACTTCCCAAGTAATTGCTATGTTAATTAAATATTTAAAAGAGGAAAAAAACAGGTCAGGGCTATCAGGTTTAGTATTAGAGAACATCAATATGAGACTATTTTCTGAAATAAAGCAAAAAAAAAATGTAAACAAATGACAGCTGGGAAATAATGACAGTATATTATTTTTGTGTTTGATTTCTTGTTTCATTTATTAGTTTTAAAAACAAATGTTTATCATTTGTGTCATGTTGGGCACTAAGCTCAGTCCTGGGAATATAACTGGATTATGTGACATTGACATCAGTTTGTACTGTTTTAAGCTTCTATATGTATAATGTTCTTAAATTAAACTTGTTTTCAAAGTTTAATATGCATTTAGAAAATACACAAATCATAAGTAACAGCTTCATGAATTATAATCAAATCACCTCATGTAAACTGTCTACCAGATCAAAAAACGAAACATTATCAGCTCTGCAGAAGTCCTTTCTTTTTCCTCGCAGTTACTGTACTCCAAGGATAAAACATCATCCTAACTTTTAATAGCAAGATTAGTATTGTGTGTTTTGATCTTTATATAATGACATCCTACAGTGTCTACTCCTTTTTTTTCTGACTTGTTTTACTTTGGTCTTACAATTCAGATATTTTTGCAATGCTGACATCTAGTTATATTTAGCAATAGTTCTTCACTCTTGCTACGGTATATTTCATTTTATGAAAATACGACCATCGATTACTCATTCCTTCTTCCAACATTTTGGTTGTTTCTGGTTTGGGCTATTATAGAGCTGCTATTAGAAGTTTATGCATATCCTTGAGTAAGATTGTATACGTTTTATTTGAGTATACAACTATCAGTGGAATTACTCCATCATAGGGTATGTATTCATTCAGCTTTGGTAGATACTGCCAAAGATTTTTCCAAGTGACTTTAACAGTTTATACTGCTGATAGTATAGTGTGAGTCCTACTTGTTCCACATCCTCATTACTACTTGATTGGTCGTGTGTGTGCCTGCGTGTGTTTTTGTTTTGGCATTTTGATAAGTAATTAGCAATTTATTACATAATTGTTTTAATTTGCTGCTTCCTGATGACTGGTAAATATGTTCATTGGTCATTTGGATATTTTCTTTTGTGAGCGTTGTTCAAGTCATGTGCCCATTTTTGTACTAATTCTCCCTTTCACTTTTGGCTTTAGAGTTCCTTATAGATTCTTAATATGAGTTCTTAGATATATGTTTTACATCTTTTTTTCCAACTCTGTGCATGCCTTTTCAATCTCTTACTGATATCTCTTGATGAAAAGATGATCTTAATTCTAATGAATCCAATTCATCTTTTTTCTTTTTTGATTGGTATTTTTAGAATTCTTGTCTACTTCCAAACTTTGTCCTTTTTTCTCTAAAGGCTTTTGATTTTCTTTCACATTTAAATGTATGATCAGGTTGAAATCATTTTTTTCTGTGGAGTGGTAAATAGTTTTCAAGTTTCTAGAAAGGCTCAAGTTTCATGGTAGTGGATGTATCTCTTTTTCTTTCTAGTTCTGTTAATTTTATTTTATATATTTTGAAGCTATATTATTGGTTAGATACAGATTTCAGACTGTGATATGAACCTTTTATTGTGCAATGTCTCTCTATCTCTAGTGTCATTCCTTGTTTCACAGTGTGTTTTGTCTGACGTTAGTTAAAGCAGCTTTCTTTTGGCTAGTATATGCAAGTTATGTATTTTTCCATCCTTTGCATTTTATCATTAAACTTAAAGTGCATATCTCATAAGTAGCACATGAGATTTTTTTTCTAGAATGAAAATCCGATATTTTTATGTCATTTGATGCAGCTTTTGTTTGGATCAATAAGTATTTTTTTGCCATTTGTTTTCCTCTTTATTAACTTATTTTATTTTTTTTACTATTCTCTCATTGGTTGTCCTACAGATTTCAACATGCGTACCAGACAAATTATTTCTTAGATGACCTCCCCAATAATATTGGGACCTAAAAACAGTTAGCTCTTTTTAACCCACCTCCTTTTTTGTATATTATCATGGATTTTAATTCTACATATATGAAACAGATAAGAAATTTTATGTAGTAATTTTTATTTATTTTAACTACTATTTATCCTTTTTATTAGTTTTTATTCTTTTCCTGCAATTCCATGTTCCCATCTAGGTTCTAGAATCATTTTCCATCTGCTTGAAGAATTCTCTGTAATACTTCTTTTCGTGTCATTTTCCTGGTTGTGAATTCCAATTTTGTTTGCTTGAAAACATCTTGGCTTTACTTTTATGTAAGATGGGTTTATTGGATATAAAATTCTAGGTTGGTAGTTATCTTCTTTAGCATGTTAAAAAAGTCATTCATTGTCTTCTGGCTTCTTTTGTGTCCGTTGAAAGGTCAGTTGTTATTCCTTTGAAATAATGTAGCGTTCCCTTCCCCCCATTGCATTTAAGATTTGGTCTTCAATTTTGTGTTTAGTAATCTTATCATTATATACCTAGATGTGGTTTTCTTGGATTAATTCTATGTTAAGTTTTAAGAACTTCTCAAACTTGTAGGTTGATATCTTTTATCAGTTTTGGAAAACCTATAGCCATTCTTTCTGTAAACAGCGCTTATGCCCCAATATCTCTTTACTCCCCATCTCTCAATTACACTTATGTAAGATCTTTAGATTGTACTCATGTATCTTATGCTTATTTTGATCTTTTTAATTCTTTTTTCTCTTTCTCAAGTTTGGATATTTTCTTTTGAAATGTCCTCTAAGTTGCTAATCCTGTCTTCTGCTGTGTTTACATTGCTGTTAAAACTATTTGAAACTTCTTGAAAGATATAACTTTAAAAAACAAACTACCAAAACTAACTTAAGAAGAAATAGATAATCTCAATAATTATATACATATTAAAGAAACTGAATTTGAAGTTACAAGTCTTCCATAAAAGAAAACAGTAAGGCCAGCTGGTTTCTCTGGTGAAGTCTAGCAAACCTTTATGGAAAATATAATATCAGTCTCATATATTCCTGAAAATGGAAGGAAAACTTCCCGAGTCATTTTATGAGGTCAACATTTACTCTAATGTCAAAACCAGACAACAGCATCACAAAAAAATATATAGACCCAAATCCCTCATGAACATATATGCAAAAATTTTCAGCAACATTTCCAGCCAATCAAATCCAGCAGTATATAAAAATGAAAGTACATTATAATCAAGTGGCCCATTCCAGAAATAAAACTCAGCAATTTTAAAAATTGAGCTATTAATTCACACAACATGATGAACCTTCAATTCAGTTTGCTAAATCAAAGAAGCCAGAACCCCAAAGCTATGTATTGTATAATTTTATTTACTTGATGTTGTTAAAATAGCAAATGTTAGGGGAGGCAGAAGAGGTTGACCACACAGACACCAGACTCACAGGGGAATTTTTAGAGTGATAGGACTCATTGGTACTGGAGTGGTTGTTATATGACAGTATGCATTTGTCACAACTCCTAGAAATGTGAACTTCAGAAAGTTTACCGCAGAAAGAATGAACTTTATGAAAATTAAAAGAAGAAAATAGCAAGCATAATATTGAGGCTTCTGAGGATTTAATGCAGTTTGTAATACATGAATTTAACAGTATTAAAAATGTCTTTAGTATTAAAAAAATCTTTAAATTATCATACCTAAATAACTTTGGAATACAGTGATTTGGCTGGATACTATAAAGCTACAGACAAAAAGAACTACATAATCACTATACTCTGTTCAGTGGTCAGCAAACTTTTTCTGCAGAGAGCCAGATAGTAAATAGATATTTTTGTTTTTTATGTGCCATAAGGTCCCTGTCACAACTACTCAGCTCTGCTATTTAGCACTAAAGCAGTCACAGACAATACATAATCAAGTGAACATGTCTGTGTTCCAATAAAACTTTATCCAAATATGCTAAAATGTCAATTTCATGTACTTTCCATGTAAATTTTCATGAAATCTTTTTTTCCCTCAGTCATTTAAAAATGTAGAAATTACTGTTAGCTATCAGACCATACCAAAACAGGCAAAGGGCCAGAATTGCCCAGGGAGCTGTAGTTTGCCAAAAGCTGCTCTAGTAGATACATGTGTCTCATATAACTGTATGGATTAGCATCTCTAAAAATGCATGTGCGTGAAAATTGGACAAATAACTAAATAAATTGCAGATAAAGACAACTGGTTTCTCATTGTCAGAAAAAGAAGTTTTAAAGAAACAAGGTGGGCAAAGGCTATAATGAACCCTGTGATGTTGGATTAGAGTCTAAGATAACAACTTTAATTCGTGTTTATTTTAATGTATACAGATAGATTGATTTAGAAATACAGGTTAATATACACACATAGTTCTAGGTTTTTCCTCCAAAAGGGCTAAGAAGGAGTGATAGCCCAATAGCAACAAGCACACCCAGCTCCCAGATCTTGGTTTCTATATGTCTGTTTTTAAGAAAGGTTACCAGTTCTCTTGGAGCAATGGTTAATTCTGGGGCTGGAGCAAGGAAAAACACAAGATTAGCATGGAACATCTTGTAGTGTAGAAAGTGAGGAATTGCTCAAAAAAGCGGGGGTGAGGGAAATAGGTGCCTGTCATAAGGACACAGGAGCCAACCTAAATGAGCTCCC